AATAATGGTTATTTTGAATAATTTCAAGCTTAAGTACTAGTTAAAACTAATAAAATATCGAAGAATTTATTTCATTTGCTAATAAATTAACAAAGCTCAAAACTCAAATAAAGCTCTGTTAGAATGATTAATATGTTTACCCTGAATTTTTTGTCTTGATTTATTGCAACTGATGCTTAAAGTAGGTGTTAGGCATAAAAAGTGCATTGGTCATCTGCATTTTTATCGAGATATGGGGTAAAAACAAATAGGTACTCCCCTCGCAGGTTATAGCTCAAGGCTTTATGTTGACAAAAATAGTTTTACATCAGCGAAAAAAGTGAAATATTCTTTTTAAAAAACAATTACAATTGACATTAAACATTTCTTCCCTAAACACATACAAAAAATTTCATTCAAACTATATATATACTGACATGTCCATCACTACTGAACTGACTTCCCTGAATCTTTATTACTACTAACAAAAGATAATAAGGAAGAGATACAATGTCTTTCAAGCAGACATTATGTTTAGGAATCCAAATATCTCATTAGTAGCCGGTGTGGACTCTTATTCTTATATAACATGGTACAATCATTCGTATGTATTGAAAAATGTATCGATACAAACGAAGAAGGAAAATCCCACCTGCACATACCGATTGTGGACAAATGAGTGCAATAAACGAAAAATATTATTTAATCATATTACTGCAAATTCTTATTTTAGTGTATTGCCATGTTTTCTCCAAAGACGTATCAGAAATATTAGAGAAATACCGACATCTTACGAACGAACGTAACCAAAAAGGGGATCGTTCATTGTATTTACATTTGCATTATTGAATTCTTCAATGTTATTGCGATTTCAAAAGATAAAATCCCCGCAGGATACCTCAAAATTACTACTTGTCGTTGTCGCTACCGTGACGCTACAATACATTTCAATGGACATTGAGGTTCCGAAAAGGGAAATACACATGTGAACGGAAAATGTCTCATTTTGAAGCATGAAGTCAAAGATTCTGTCTTACGAAAAAAGAGGGCGAGGGAGAGTTTAAAAAAAACCCATAAAACAATGGCCTTTTTGTTCATGCTACTGGCTAAACTGCACATGTAAATCATATACGGTGCCAATTTTGATGCACCAGATGCGCATTTAAACAATTTATGTCTCTTAAGAAATGCTCATGCCAAAACGTTGGAAACCCGAAATATTTAATTTAAAAAAATCAAGGAGCTGAAAGGGGGTTAGGGGGCATGACTGGAGCAAAATTACGTCGAAGGATCGAATGTATCTAAGAAGCCTTACCAACCGAAAAATTTTCCCATGGATTTATGATATGGCTATAATACATGTACATGTATATTGAAGCCGAGTTTTATTTTATTTTGATAGTTTTCTTAGCCATTACATGGAATTATCACCTCTGACAATATCTGTGTAGAAAATTTATCAATAGTCATTCCTGATGTGACATATATGAGAACGTTTTTGCAACTGAAACTCATGCTCATTTCATTCAAAATATTCAGGTTTTTTTTTTTTTTTTTTTACAAATTAAAATGCAATGCAAATCAGCTAAACAGAAATTGGCCTTAGTAACCCCTGTCCACATGAATGCTGCTTCGGTGAGTAATTTCCAGACATGTGGTATCATCCAAATTAGGTTAAACCATCTTTAAAAAATTGTTTCGTTGCCCTCAACGACTGGCTAAAAATGACCCGACTCAAAACTTGTTTAACCTGAGGAAACGATAATTTTTTCTCCTGAACTTTCTTTCTTCATCAATAAGAATGTTGAAATTTTCTGGAAGAAAATTTATTACATATCTTCCGACCCAATTTTTTTTTAAAGATAATGTATGAAGAATATTTTGTTCCGAAAAAAGTTGGAACCCCCCCCCCCCATTAAAAAGGGTTTTTGAGTTTAAACCCCCACCCACCCATTTTTTTTGTTTTTGTTTTGTTGTTTTGTTTGTTGTTTTTTGTTTGCTTGTCAGATTTTCTCTTGTAAGTTGATTTTTTTCTCTGGCTCCTACAACCTGTCCCACTTTTAAAAACGAAAATTATATGTTTATAATTCGACGAATGAATAATAAATAAATCTGCAGCAATATTACTTTTACTAGAAAGAATTCATGACTGTATTAAAAAATTTAAAAAAATATCAGTAAAAATTACTTCTACACATGAGTGAAAACTCGTCTGTTTTGTTTATTTGCCCATGTGAGCAGGTGTATTTGAAGCATGCATTGACAACTCAGTGAATCAGCGTCATGCACTTGATGTTATTTAAATTATTCACATTTTGAGAACTACAGTATCTTTTTGTCAGTATACTAGAATCAATCTATGATCTTTTTCTTCGAGGTGACGCAAGTTATAAATTCGACTATATTTTTTTATTTCTGTACTTTAGAGCTTCGGTCGAAATTACTCTGAGTGCGGGGTCAAAAGCTACCCTTCACGTATACAGTGTATCTTGTAATTTTATATTCTGACGAATAATGCATGCTTAACAAACAATGACATAATAGAACATTGAGTACAAAGAAAATTTAATAAATATACACCACCCTCAGACATGTAGCATCAGTAGGGCCTGCCCCCACCTTTTTCACACATCACTTTTTTCTGTTGGAAATGTGGAAATGTTCATTGAAAGGCTTGTTGCCCCCCCCCCCCCCCACCCCTTGTTGCAGTACAGTCAAATTAGGCTAATGTAGTGATGTATGAAAAAATTGGTAAAGAAAGAAGGTTTTTTTTTTGTTTGTCAGGTTTTTTCAGGTAAGTTGATTTTTTTTCTCTGGCTGCCCCCCCCCCCCCCTTTAAAACACGAAGCTACGTCTGTAACCCTACCTATAATTTGCAGCTTTTATAATCCACATATCTATACAGATATAACATATATCATGAAAGGCAGCCGAAAGATAAATTAAGTGAAGATTACATCATACAAGAAGATACTGTCTATCATATGAATGCTCGTTTATTTCTTTGAAGTGATATTTCACATAAAGAAAAACCTACCCTTCTTTCTTTATGAAGTTACGTTTTCTTTTACTAGATACGATATGGAAAAAAAATTGCATATTCATGCATTGCCCCATTCTACTTTAATAAGGATTGTAGTATATGGATCTTAGTATTCCATGTATTTACTTAAATGCAATGGAAATGGACATTTAATTCGATTAGTTGAGATTCGACCCCCTCTCCCTCCCAAACTACACAAACATCTATACGCGCGACCACTTTAAAAATATTACGTTTTCCGAAGTGCCAACTATATTTTCTGATTTTTAATGGTTGATTTCTGAAATGTTAGAAAACAATGCTACATTGTATAATTCATTACAACAATTATTGTCCATTGTGCGCACTCTCTCTCTCTCTCTCTCTTTTACAAACACATAAATGTACACTTTTAAATAAAAGACACTATATAAGCGCATCACCTAGTAACTTGTTGCCTTTGCATGGATTTATACAGGGAATGAGTTTAGATTTCATCCATGCTATAAAACGTAGCTTTCCCCACATGAACACAGCGCACACTGTATATGTACGTATAACCACTGACGCATGGCAAATGTGTTTCTTAACCCGTCATGGGTATTTTGGCGTATTTTCTTCTATTTGTCCGCTTTAATTACATTGTACGTGATTACAGAAAATTAGACAGGTGAAATTATCATTTACAAAGTGATTAAAATACTGTCCGTTCTATTATACACATATTCTTAATTTTTCAGATTTATTTATTTTAAACTAGATGCAATAACTGGTCCCTGGAAAACTACCGAGATACGGGAAGTTAGGGCGAGTTACGTTCGTTCGTAAGATGTCGGTATTTCTCTATTCAGGTTGTACAATGTACCTCCTGTCAAATGGGCAAAAATATACACTGCATCTGAAATAACCGGCATCCGACATGTTCCACTTCGCGCTTGTGTCTTAAATCGTTTAAATCTTCTGCTATACTGTTTGATTTCAATTCTTGCATAAAATACCCTCATTTATCTTTATACACCCCCTCCAACATTTCTGCAGACGTTATTTACATTTTTTAAATGCTATATTAACCTTTTAAAACAATAAAACGATTAAATCGGGCTTCCGTTTTCCCGCGAGTAGACCTCAACTTTAAACGAGTTATTTTTCAATTTGCAGTCTTTTTTTAATCGAACAGGGATTTTTTCCCATCTCCTCCAGTTATTATTTGTCTTCATCTAAGAAAGTTTTCCTTACACAAGCAAATTTTTCCACATGTATCAGGTTTAGTTTGTTTGGAGCTAGATATTCAGGATGACACGTTTTCTTTCGATTTTTTCCTGTATACCCCCCCTCCCCCCACCCGAAAATATGAATAAAACATTTTTAAAAATAACAGAACCACTGAGAAATGGTAAGTTTAAGTTCACTGTTGTAAATATGCTTCACCAGTACAGGATATGCTGGTAATTTATACAGTCTGCTTTTTCCAAATTTTATAAGCAGTGTAACTAGAAATGTTAAGGAACACTTTCTACTCATGTTTGTTTTGAATATTTTCATGACACATTCCAATCTAAGTCCTATTGAATAGGCGTGTAAAAGTCGAAGATAATGAACAGTATTAAATCTCTTCATTTTATTACAGAATACGAATCGTTAAGAGGCCATAACACGGGCCTTTGGAAACGCCAAATTTTGGATCAGGTGTTCAGGAGGTATAATAACCCTCTGTAGAGCGGTCGGTCACACCATCCGTGAGCCCTCTGCATTGTTAAGGTAAATTGATAATTGTATAAAAACAATGACCTAAAAATAAATTTTGGGAAACATGTCTGCCAACATATAGGTTGTATTTGCACAAACTAAGAATATTTTTGTTCTAGGTGAACTTTTTTAAAGTTGCGCCACTTATTAAGAAAATACAGTCATCTTTGAAACGTTGGGACACCCCTTGTAGATATTTTTCCCGCCTGTATCAGATTTATATAAAATAGGCTCTTAAGTATGAATGAGGTACCTAGTGTCGCTTGATCATCATCATCGTTTCCTTAATAGATAATGCAGACGTAATTGTAGGATACCAAGGTAGTGTCCACATCACTGAGGCCCAGTTACCGTTAAGGAAGGCGTAGTGACAATCGTTAAACCACCACCCTCCTCGTGCTCCTACACTTCCGGCACAGAATCCTCCACTCTTGTCGTTATCCGTCTTGGGCGTACTGAAGTACATCCCAGATAAATTTTTGCCGTTTAACCCGGTGTTAAGCATGCTGTCACCTAAGAAACGAAATAAAAACAAAGACACGGACTCTGAACTCATTAGAAGAACATAAAGTGGGAAAATTAATCATTACTGTAATAAAGCAAAGTTATGGGATTTTTCTTTAATTCGGTATGTTTCATTGTGTATTAAAGGTCATATAAATATGTTTATATAGGTCCTATACTATTGAAATTTATCATTTCATATATTGCAAACATTTTCATGCCATAATCAACTGACATGAGACAGCATTTAACACACAAATTCACTGTGTTATGATGAATATTTGAGATGCTATGATTTTTCTCTCACTCTCTCTCATTTGTAAGGTTCACCGTTTTGTTTGTCACAAACCTAAGGTTCCAGTAGCATTTCCCGCCAGAAAAATTTTATACTTCTCTGCTTCATCCGACACAGAAAACTGGTCGTACAATTCGAATAGTCTTGTACCATTCACTAGAGTGATGGAAACCAAGAGGGATGACTTCTTTTTCTCTGTAAGCCGGTGGATAAGGTCATTTCCTATATTAAGGTATATTCAAAATCAATTTAAAGATGTATAGCAAAGAAATCACTTTGTTTAAAATGAATATCCCCGAAAAAAATAGTTTGTTCATGAAATTAGAGTATCTTTGATTGGTCAACACAATATTTACTGACTAGTACTGTAGAGTAAGTTCAATACACAGTTTGAGGGAAGGAGTTATTAAGGACTACCAACTTGACCAACTGTATTTGCTAACATTTTAGTCAACCAATCAACTTGCCCGTTTTAAAGCCAGTGCTGTTGTAAACATAAACATGGCAGACGTCAGTATCTAAACGAATGAACTCCTTTATCATTTAAATTATCAATTTATATATTTTAAAATGTTTATTAATTTGATTACTGTATAGGGGGAAAATAACTCGCGGTGTTAATATTCGCTATATTCACTGTGTTAATTAATCCGTGAATTCAAGAAACAGTGAATAAGTTTTAAATATTAAACCTCGATGTTTTATTTGGAAATTTTAGAATAGACTACGATAGGTACATGTATATATACGTACAATACATGGTCATTCATTTCAGTAATTACGAGTAGTATACGTACGCGTACTTGTCATTCAATTATCTTAATTATCACGCTTTACTTTAATTCAAATAAGCAGCTAATAACCTGTTTTTATTGTTCAACAGTTGTTTTAATAGATGCATGTTTCATCAATCAAAACACATGGGACATGGGTTTTGACTACCCGTGCTTAACGTTACCACGTGTATTTGTTCCCTGCAATATAGCATTATGCGTGTTAGTTTTTATGGAAATTTTGGTTTAAAAAAATATCATTCGGATAACTATCGATCTTGGTGAAGATATGGAAGGATATTAATATGTCTACCAACATTAATATATTTATTAGCGTCCAGTGTTTTTTTTCCCCCGCTGCAATGTGTTATACCTTCGGAAAGATGTGTACACATGTACTCATCGTAAAAGCATATAGGAAAGTCATTTGACGTTTATAGTCAAAAAAGTTTAATAACGGCACTTGTTTTGATTAATCATCAATTAACTACTAAATTTAATAATTTTATATAAACCTACCCTGTTCGTGAAGTGAATACATAACGCTGATAAATGTCGTTCTAGCTATACTATGGATTACACGAATAAAGACAAAGTAGGTTACTTTTATTATATACCGATTCCGCGAATTCAACAAACCGCGATCGTGTCCGAGGAGAGAAAAACGTGAAAATTACAACCCGTGAAATTAATCCCCTATACAGTATTTAAAAAGCAATTACTGAATTTGGATTCCTGTTTACTAGTCACTAAAGGACCCGTTATGGTTTTGTTAACCTATGCCTCTGTCAATCAATACCCGACCAGGCCCGTATAGTCACAAGTCGACTTCATCATACGTAAATAATGTAATCATCAGAAATATTTGATATTTTAGACTAGATCAACTGTATAATTTTGATATAAAATTTATCTTTACCGATCCAGATATCCTGTTCCGGTGTACCAAAACCATTCTTATATTCTGTCCAATTCCTGTCAAAGCTCTCAGATCCGTTCACTCTTTTTTGGATTGCCTTTGCAAAGATATATCATTTAATTACTATTAAATAATAAGTCTATGATGTGTGTAGCCGACAAAAAATCAGAATATAAATGTTATAAAGTCTCCTACTAATATGGTAAACAACAGAATCAAGATTTTTATAAAGTAAAAAAGTGAAGAAAAAAAAATTATAAAAAGGTTAGATACCGTCCATCCCCCGTCCATTGTTTCCATGTCACAGTAAACTTTGACAGGACGAGAGCTTGCCCCAGAGGGATAAATGTCGTACACTGCTGATTTAGTGTGACCATTATTACGAAGGTCCTTGCAATCTATAGAAATACCTTACACAGGAAAAGAAATATACAGAAATTGCAGTTTTAAACATATGGAAGGTTTTATGTGAGAAGAAATATGGGTATTAAAGACATATATACACACCAGAATTAGTGGCACAATTTTCAGGAAGGTCTTTACAATCTGAAGAAAGAGCTGAAACGGGAGAACAAGAATTTAATTTGGATTTCTTAAGGTAGTGTCAATTTTGTATGATTACAGTTAGATCACACATAGACGTACAGGTGGATAAACAGGTAAACGTACAGGTGGATATACTGATGGACGTACAGGTGGATATACAAGTAGACGTACAGGTAGATACACAGGTAGACGTGATGGTGGATATACAAATAGACGTACAGGTGAATATACAGATAGACGTACATGTGGATATACAGATAGACGTACAGGTGGATATACAGATAGACCTACAGGTGGATATGCGGTTAGACGTAGAGGTGAATATACAAAAAGACGTACAGAAGGATATACATCTAGATGTACAGGTGGATATACATCTAGATGTACAGGTGGATATACAGATAGACGTACAGGTGGATATACAGATAGACGTACAGGTGGATATACATCTAGATGTACAGGTGGATATACATCTAGATGTACAGGTGGATATACATCTAGATGTACAGGTGGATATACATCTAGATGTACAGGTGGATATACAGTTAGACGTAAAGGTGGATATACATCTAGATGTACAGGTGGATATACATCTAGATGTACAGGTGGATATACAGTTAGACGTAAAGGTGGATATACATCTAGACGTACAGGTGGATTTACAGATAGACGTACAGGTGGATAAACAAATAGACCTACAGGTGAATATACAGGTAGACTTACAGGTGAAGATACAGTTAGACGTACAGGTGAACATACAAAAAGACGTACAGAATGATATACATTTAGACGTACAGGTGGATATACAGATAGAGGTACGGGTGAGTATACAGATAGACGTACAGATGGATATACAGATAGACTTACAGGTGAATATACAGGTAGACGTACAGGTGGATATACAGATAGACGTACAGGTAGATAAACAGGTAGACGTAAGGTGGATATGCAGGTATTTGGTAGAGGAAGCACTCTATTTGAAAGATAAAATCGGGATAAAAAGATAACGTTAGGTTGTGATCCACAATGAAAGGCTTGTTTTCACAAGCTTATCTTTGAGGTATATTGTTATATACATTTATTTGATGGAAAAATATATACATAGAACATTTTCTATTTCCTATCTAAGGAGGCTCATGATTACAAAACTGATCCTGAGAAAAATGAAGACCACAGTAATTCCCAAAAGAGGTTCCAAAGGGTTCGCTTTGTTTTCGTTTATAGTCTATTTTGTTTTAACCACACTGTATGCGTCGTGTGTCCGCTAAAGCAAACGAGATTCCCCTTCAAAGATTCGCCTCATACACTTAGTATTTAGTAATTCTTGTATCTGTAATACTTATAGTGTTCCCATACACTTTCTTTGCTATTTTCTTTTTAATTTCATAAAGAGTATTAAGGTAAGACGACACGTTGCTCTAATATCTGTTTTGTATTTCTTTGTAATATACAACAAAATTAATCATAATTGTCATTATCTGAAGATTTCTAAACTGTTTCAAAATGTCGAAGTAAAAATAAACACCAAAAATTGTGATATTGCCAATGTTAGTGATTACCGATAGGGTTATCTAGTAACAACATCCTCTGCTATCTTGCAAAAATGGCTGGTAAGGAACTATATTTTTTTGTGAGGAAACGTGTTTAAGTAGCAATACTTCAATGACAATATCTTGGGGAAAATTATGTATTATTGAGAAATGTGACCTTAAAATGCCAATGTTATTTCATAAAATGTTGATATAAATTTTCTGAAATGTGAGTCTTGTGCAGAAGAAAAAAAAAGAAATTTTCACGATATAAACCAGCACATGCATATGTTTCTGATACTGATTTATACTTGTTACTAGAAGATCAATGAAAGATTTCGAGTGATGTGGGGGACAGGGCACGTTTAAGATCAGATAACATTATCGTAAACTTTTAAAGTCAGGTGCAAAACGTCCTATGTGAAGACCGTTATTTATCTGTGTGTAAGTTAGTGACATATTAATCTCGGTATGATTATTGACTTCAAATGGATTTTCTCCGAATTCTTAAAGAATTTTAAAATGAGCCAGATGAATACCTAGATTTAAAAATACAGTATTTAACACGAGAAATGTTTATCACTTACCGCAGGAACTAGTATTTGAATTTTCTTGTGACATTTTTTTCACAAAAGCCACGAACCACTATTTGACATTGTTGGAATTGTGCCTCCAAATATTATGTAAAATTGTTTCACCGTGAAGAGAAATATTATTCAATGAAATATTTATTAAAATTTCCTATGCAGCATTCAGAAAGTGCTTCTTATGAAGAATACAGATTATGAAAGGTGTAGATTATCTTAGTTTAGAAAATTATTGAAATGAACGGACAAAAACTGGCCACTGTGGTGTTATGAATTTGTTTTCGCAATTGATATATGAATTGAAGTACGCAGCAGTGTATGTGCCAATGGAGACACTATAAGCAAGTTCATTATGACTTCAGCGAAATTATGTGAAATTATGTGAAATTATGTGAAGGCCCGACGAATTTTTGTGTCGTCAGACACCCTTTATCTTTTCTACTACGCAATGTATTTTTGTCAATTCTGAGAATTGACTAACATTTCAGTGTTTCAAGTTCTCTCCATCCTAACGTTTACAGACCATATGAAGTATACAGCTTTGAATATTGAGAATTTGTCATTATTTCAGAAAAAAATCTGAAAGGTCAATATTTTCATATATTTGTAAACCTTTTCAATTAAAACTTGAATTAATATAAATTCATATGTCACCCCTTGAATAATTATAAAAAGAATAAAGAACAAAGAAAAGCTTTCCATTTTCATAAAAATTTAGGACAAAAAAAGTAAATTATAATAAAATATAACAAAATAGCTCTTCTGAAGCTTTTCTGTAAAATACACATGCATGGTGAACATTGATAAAAATCATTAACCTGCAAGCGCGTGTAATGTTTTGAGTGATCTTTGTAAAAAGATAAAAATGGATGTAATACGTACAGTCATCAGAATAGTATTTCCAACCGGTCTCCTCGGACATATTAGACGTGAACATCTTCTTGTGGGTACGACACTTCTTCAGTTTACTATTGTATCCAAAGAAACAACCATTCTTTCGACATATTTCTGAACACACACAGAACGAACGAGCTTCGTATTCTCCTAAAATTTCGTTATTTGACTTCTTATTATCTAATTCTAGTTTTGCTGTATATATTGTGGAAATAAAGGTAGCTTTAGAAACCATAAAGAAGAAAAAATTTAAAATGGCGACCAACAGACTGTGCATATTGTAGTTTGCCTCTATAGGAAACAACAGCGTTCGTTTTACAAGTTGCTAATGTGATCTTTCAGCAGAAAGGTACAAATTTAAATCTTTAATGTATTATAAAAGAGGCTTGTTAGTTTAATGTATTTTTCTTATCATATCTGTGATTGGTTACTTGTAGAAATTATGTATAAGACTATCGATCGAATATCGATTCAATATTCTTATTTGGAAGCTTATTGGACCATTGTATGAATGATGAAATCATAAAGCATGAAAAAAAGCTCAGGTAAAAATGAAAAAAAGTCATTTAGATATATTGACCAATTTCATAAACTAACAATATTTATTCTTATTCATAACACTGATTCGATATTGCCCACTGAACTCAAAATAAAAGACACACCAGAGTCAGACAAATGTGTTTCATTTAAAGACTAATTGTGAAATGTGAATATAAATTATAGCGATCATGCTCAAAAGTCCAATTAAACAATACAAATTATGAACAAAGTCAACACGGACATACGTAAACAGAGTTTCATCAGGTGTCATGGAGGAATAAGCATTCTCTGTCCTTCAATCACGGCTACCGTTTGCTCCTTGTTATGTTTGGATTAATTGGAATAATCTTGAGACAATTTTTAGTGAAAACAAACTGTTGAAAGTTTGCAATATTTTTTTTAAAAACAGCTTTGATATACTAATATCACCTTGAAAACAGCAGCAATTTGTATAAGGGAATGCAGTTTAGAAGAAATGAAGATGAGATTAAATTCGTCGTTTGATCATCTATGGAGAATCTGATCAGATAGAAATTATTTTTAATTTATATGATTAAAGATATAACAACAAAGATCAAAAACATTACTTTGCTGAGAGCTGAAAATCCAGCAAGACACAAAAAGCAAATTATGAATCGACATGTCATGATCTAAGAAGAGTTTCTGAACATTTCCAAAAAAGACGATGACATCATTTTAAAAAATATGTTATCTTCAGAGAAAAGAAAAAATAAATCATGTAATAATTAATGGAGCATTTAATTTTCAAAATTGGTGCCCATTCAGGAATAATGCATAATTGCATGTATATCTAGGATTTTATTTCTAAGCTTTTGTTTAATACAAAAAAAAAAATCAAGAGGGATACACTTTACTAATTCTTATTGGTGGATTAAATCTCTGTTCTATTCTCCATCAATATTATCTGAATCTATTTTTTTTCTTTTTTTTGTCTGGTCCAACTTTTACATTTTTTGCATAAAAGTAAAAGTGAATTTGTTTAGATGGTATGGTAAAATGTCAAGATTTTGCATTTGAAAAGGCGTTATTTTTCAATTCTATGAAATAAGTTGACAGTTTTTACTTCAAGATCCGCTTCCGCAATGAGGATTCGCTAACGGTGTTCGTTCTGCATTAGCCCAGGTTGCACTTGGGGTCAATCCAAAAGGAAATCGAGCGAACTCCAAGCAAAAGGTCTTCAAAATCAAAGTACAAAATCTTAACATTTCACAATGTCATCAAGTTAATTCACTTTTATTTTCATGTTATAACACAAATTAGAAGGTGGACTAGATTAAAGAAATAAATGTAAGAAGAAGATTCATATCATTAAGGTGTAGGAACAGATCAAATGGAAAACTCATCTTCTAAACTCAATCCAACACAATATATATTAGTAAAATCTATCCCTCTTAGTTGAAAATTTTCACTACTTGGTTCTAAGCACGTTCCAGTTGAGAAACTTAATGTTATTTTGCAGGTGCTTAAGTTATTGGGGAAGTTGGTATATGCTTTTAGATTCTGTTTTTAGTCGTTTATGAACATGTTCAGTAACTCTATTTTGATCATAAAATGAAGGTTCATCTTTTGCATTTCTTTCGTGTCTGGAGGGATTCTTACATGTAGCTCTCGGTGAAGTAACGAATTAGATCTATATGTTAAAGCTTTAATCATTTAAATGACAATGTGTTTTCTGTCTAGACAGTTTCTCCATGGGTGATCAAACGATGATTTTAATCTCATCTAAATATATTTTATATTGTGTTCTCCTATACAAAGCTTCTGCTTTTTAAAGGAAATCTTGCAATATCAAAGATATTACAAAAAATATTGCTTACTTTTTATAGTGAAAAGAGATGCCTTTATGAAGACCATCGAATCCCCTTTTCAGTGACACACTGTGGTCATTTGATAACTCAATCCTATGCCGGGTGCAATGATTGATTGATTGATTAAATATTGTTTAACGCCGAGTCGGCAATCTTTCAGCCATATTTCGGCGGTATAATCAGTTAAATCGGTTTTTGAAAGGTTTGGGTTTCTCTGGCGGCCCCCAATGAGCCTACTCTTTTTCGAACACCAGAGAAACGATCTTTTGCGTGCCAAAGGGGTTGTAATCCTTGACACGGGGCACCATTTTACGTCCCATCCGACGGACTTAAAAATCTGAAATATCTAAACAATCAAAATATATATTTCTCCAAGTATTTCTCAACAAAAATGCTAAAATTGTTGACTTCTAAATTTTACTGTACAAATCAGTTTCATGTAAGTATTATAAAATTATTCCAACAGTAACATTTGTAAAAAGTTCATACATCGTTCGTGCATTTTTAAAAAGTCTATTTCGAATAGGCGAAAAATCAGTACATTCTAAAAGAATATGATTCACAGTCACACCTGATTCTCCTAAACTGTTTTGTTTTGTTCGTTTCATACATATATACTAAAATTAGC